TGTTTTAAAAATAGTTTAAGTATAAAACATAATTTTATACTTTACTAAGGATTAAAATGAACTTTGAAAGTCTTGTAGTAATATTTTGATATTCGAATAATTATATCGAATATACTTAGATAATCTTTTGGAAAATCTTAAAATTCATTTAACTTAATTTGTTATATTGAAACATCAAAATGTTTTCAACATTTTTGTTGGCAGATTGCCCTTCTTGCCTTGAGCTAAGCTGCAAGTGATGTGTCTTTAAGTTGAGTGTAATCGAACTCGAAGGTCTTTGTTGACAGATAACCCTTTTATCCTTGAGTTATGCTATAAATGATGTGCTTTGGAGCTAAGCGTAGTCCAACTCGAAGGTCTTTTGTTGGCAAATAGCCCTTCTTTCCTTGAGCTATGTTGCAAATGATGTGCCTTGTTGCTGGCATAGTCAAACTCGAAGGTCTTTTGTTAGCAGATAACTATTCTAGCCTTGAGTTATGATGCGAATAGTTTCTTTAAAAAATGGCTTTCCCATCACGGTTCTAAGCCGATCATAATTCTTCAGGTGGTTCCTTTGATCGGGTCTGAACCAAGTAATATGATTTTTAGATGACTCATTTTCACGGGAAAGTCCACTAATAAATTCTGTCAGTCGGATATCTTCCTTCGTGGAATTGAAATCTGGCTTGAAAATGTTAATTGGAAACCTGCTACTCATTATTAAGTTAAGTTAATCTGGATTCGTTCTGAATTGGCTTTCGAACCCATCTGAAATTGATTCAAGATCTGTGGATATGTCAAGTCGGTTGAGGTGTAACTTCTCATTGATGAGTCAAGCAACCACCATTGATCTTTAAAGGAGCTTTCAAAACGAGTATATTTCGTCATAAAGTCGAAACTTGACTATGAAAGCTGCAAAAAATTATACATGTGAAAAATGATAAATGTAATGCTCTTAAGTATGTCTAAGATGCATGTAATGTGAATTGGTTCTGTTTTATGTTATAGATGGAGCCTCATTCTGTCCTTCGGTCTTGTACTCGGAATCAACCATGCCCTATTTCTTCTTGGGTTGTGGCCTTTCACATTTAAGATTGTCCTGTTTGAAAGTGTTTTTCTCATTTCTCTTATTTTAGGAGGGAAAAAGATATACGAATATAAAAATTCTGTAAAACATTGCTCCCAAATTCAGGCTTACAATCGAATCAAATCATAAACATGAATTCAAAGTATATCAAAGGAATCAATAGCTCTTTTAATGCTTTCAAATTTATAGCTCTTTGACAATGTTCAAATGGATGAGTTGGCTTTAGGTGAGCCTCCTATTTAGCCATAAAAAATGTCATTTTTTCAGTCGTTGATTGGCTTGGCATTTTAATTGGATGCGGACAAAATGACGCAACTAGCATAATCAATTGCTAGACCTTCTATTTCAGTTCTCTGAAATCTTAATATTTCATTTGTTCAAGCTTTGTAGGCTCTTCTAACAAAGTCAGTGCAGAAATATCAGTCAAAAAATGAAATTCCTGAGTGCTCGTGTGAAGTTGACTATAACATGTGTTCCTTAACTCCCTTAGTCCATTTTTACCAAAACTCCTTATTTAATTTTCCATTATATGGCTAGCTGGATCCATAAAGCCGGGGCGTTTAACCAATTGGTCTAGAGGGACAACTCAAGCTTTATTGTATATTATAATCACCTTTATCAGGCTAGTTGAATCTTATCCATAAAACCGGGGCGTTTAACCAATTACTTTAGAGGGACAACTTAAGTTTTATTGTATATTATAATTACCTTTGTCAGGCTAGCTGAATCTTATCCATAAAGGTGTTTAACCAATTGCTTTAGAGGGACATCTCAAGCTTTATTGTATATATATAATACTATAATCTGGGTATATGGCCCCAATTTCTTAAGTTTGTCAAGAAGAACCTATTATAGTCTAGGTGTTGTTGAAAGTCAAAAATTTCATCTTTAGAGCTCAATTTCCAAGCAACTGACCTAAACTAGATTCATCTACTCGACTATTTCATCTGTAAAGATTATGATCATCACTGAACGTCTTAAACAAAAAGTGTAGTAATGTCAAAGATGCCCCATGTTGTCCGCACCTATGCATATCTAAATACCAAGCCTTATAAAGAGAGAAGGTTATATTAGTTATTTGTAAGAGAAGAGTACAGTGTTTGAGCGTATCTTCTTGGGTAAGGTCAAAGTCCTTTATCATGTTACTTTATCAAAGATCTGTAACTCCATTCACTTGCAGAGTTTTTTAATTCATTTGATATTCAAAGAATTTCAAGTTGTAAATTTGATTCAATGCTCTGCATAAATTCATTCAAATATCCAAAGAAAGTTCAAAAACAAGTTCCAAATATGAGAAAGTTAAAAAAAAAATCAAATTCAAACAAGATGCCTCAAAATTGAATAAGGCCTCATCAGGATGCCCCACTTGCCATGACTTTTTCTACTTTGGGAGTGTCATTTCTTTCATCGTAAAATTCTAGCTCTTTTCTGTCCATCATTAGCTAGATCAAGGCTCTAAAATCGGCACATTCTTGTACATCATGTCCATCTTCATTGTGATAACAACAATGACTGCCACCTTTGGAATCTAATGTGCTAGGAAGTGGTGTAAGAAACCACGCATTTATCATTTGTCTCCATACCCAAACAAGAGGTGACTTCACTTCGAAAACTCTGATTTTGTCCTTTTTACCCTTTTCCTCGGTGATTGCACTTTCCTCATTCTCTTTATGATTAGGCAGAGGGTTCTGTGCAATATGGGGTGATTCTGTATTGTTGAAATGAATCCAACTCCTGTTACGTATTCTTTGGATAATCCTCTTAAAGGCGAGACAATTTTTAATAGCATGTCCCGGAACACTGCCATGATATTCACAGTGCGCATTTTTGTCATACCACTTGGGGTATGGGGCTTTAGAGGTGTCTCTGGATAGGGTGACACCACATGTATGTTAAACAGTTATTGGTAGAGCTCCTTGTATGTTATGAGAATGGGATCGAAATGCTCATTTTCTCTCATTGGTTCTTTCGAATCTTGTCTAGAAGATGATACAGTTGCAATTGGTTTTGATTTGATGATGATCTCTCATTCTTTCTTCTTCAGGGGAGGCTTTCCACTCGACATACCTCCTGGTTTAATGGTCGTTTTGACTTATTCCCCAAATTTTGGGATGCGGTAACCATCTGAATTATTTTGAAGTCCTGATAAGATTCTGGTTGAGACAACTACTTGCAGGGTAGGTGACATAGTTACCCCTTCTGATGAACCTGCCCTAGGTGCACTTGCCTGACGTATGCCAGCTAACTTGGCAACGATCTGATCGATCAAGGACTCTTGGCCTTTCGTGATTGTATTTAGGGCACTTTGGCTATTTTGATTTATCTTTTCTCCTAGATCCTTCTGTAACCTTAGCATGTTCGATTCAAGTTGAGCAATTCTAGCTTCCATTTCCTTTTAGTTTGAATGGGGATGGCACGTGTCCGAAGCTTGTAGAGGTAAATCCAATGTTTATTCCTTTTGATGAGACAAGCCTTTATTAGTTAATGTGAATGTAAAGAAATGAAAATAACAAAATGCAAAATATGTTTAAATGCATAATGCATGCAATGTTCGAGGCATTGATCCAAAAACTGTGTTTGTTATTATAAATAATCCTTATTGGGGACAAAAGTGTTGCGTTTTTAAGAGACCAAAAACATTTTGATGGTATAGATCTCGAACAGCCTCTAACAAGTTGATTCGTCTTCCATCTTTTTCTATAGTCTCCCGGTTTAGGTTATAAAAAAAGTACCCGAGTTCTCCTTGCTGGTGCCCCCTTGGGCTTGCTAGACCCTTAGTCCTAAGCCCATTACAAGCTTATGTGGACTAAATTAAACTCGAGAGGAAAAATTCCCTTATGCCCGCACGGTGAATAAATTCACACGAAGACATAAGATATATGAATATCGAAGGTTACTTGCTAGGCTCGAATGGAGAATAAATTCTCACGAAGGCGTTGCTTTCACCCCCACTTAGAAAGGGTTTGGAGCTTGGGTATAAAACCTAAGATGAAATTTTCGAAAATCTGAAATCATTAAAAAAACGTCAGTACAACTATTTATTTGAAAAATAATTAAAGATAAATAATTAGAATCGAATAAATAAATTAAAATTCAAACTTGTAATTTTCGATAAAAAGGACAATCGGAAGTTAATTTCGGCCTAACTCACTTACCAGTCTCCAGTAGAGTCACCAAGCTGCTGCGACCGTCTTTCAGTTGGGCCTGAAATTGGGCTTCGACTTGGATGAAATAATGGGTTAGAGTCACCACCGATCATTTTAAAGAAAAAAATTAGGCTGATCGGACACCATCTTATCTGATCTGTGTTTTAGCATAAATGTGTCGGGTTTGGGAGTCGGTTACAATCAAGGAAGGATTAGCACCCTTGTATTGTCCTTTCGTTACCGATTAATTTGTTGGTTGTTTTAATTGCAAAAATTTAAAATTTAAATTTAAAAAAACATTCGATTCAAATTACTTACCTTTGATTAGTTGAAAAGTATCCCTAAAGTCAAAAATATTGTTAGATTGAATAAATAAATAAATAAATATGAAAAAATTGAAAAAAAAATAAATAAATATGAAAAAAGAAAAAAAGAGAAAAATATTAATAGAATAATAATAATAAAATAAAATAGATAAAAAGGATAAATAAAAGTTAATAAAAAATAAATAAATAAAAAGGACCAAAATGAATGATGTTGAAAGATGGCATTATTAAGCATGAATTAACCCTTACGACAATTTACACAAACATATTTAAAGGGAAAACACAATATTTAAAGGACAAACACATCAAATTAGCTTATGGGTCCCATTTATAATATATTTGAAGGGTTTTAACCCCTTTATTTGCACAGTAACTTTTAAAATTCAAACATGGGAAAATAATGAAAATCTTCGCACTTTTACCTTCGATTACGTGAGGTTGAACCGTTGGATCTAGCTGTGATCATAGTATATCGTTCCTCGTGTTGTCTTCTACTTGCTGACCATTCGGATCGTTGAAGGGAGCCTCCGATCGCCGGAAATACACCATTAGGTCTTTCATAGTTTTTGAATATGCTACCCTTGGGTTCGCCCTGTGCTCGGATAACAACACTTTTCTGGTCCTTTTCACAATGAATTTAGCTCTCTCAACATCTTGTACATCTACCTTTTTAACCTCAATTGCAGCAGTGAATACCTTCCCGAAAGTTAGACTTGTAATTGACACATCATCAATGTTGAAATTAGTTGCCCTATCGGTCAAAATCTTCCGAATTTCCTTACTAACATTCTCACTCCGAGTAATGAGCTGACTAGCATTGTATTGAGAAACAACAGTTGTCCACTTCTTTTTGCCTTTTGAGCCAGCTATTTATTTTCTTTAGTTGCTTTACTTTAAACTCCAACTGAATGATATAAGCCAGCTTCCTTGCTCTAGACCTCGCTGCGGACTCACGGTTCTTGATCATCCTCTTTTGCCTTCTCTCGATAGTTATCTAATTATCTGTTGATTAGGAATGGCTTTTCCGGATTCTTACTCTCGCATGATCTGGGGTTTCTCATTTATCAACTGTGCAAGTTGAGCCTGGGTAAGTTTCTTGTCCATTCGAGCCTGCATAATGGCTTTCTTCAGTTTAGTTGGCACTCAGTCATGTGAAAGGTTTTCGGTTTCCTCGTTGAGCTTCCTTGTATTGAGAGACATACTACTCGATGATGCCCTGTTCGTCCCATCATTTCATTTTTTGACGGATTCAATCTCGGCACCAGCACGACGAGCGGCGTTAACGACTTTCTCATCCTTCTTGGTGGCGGCATTAGGGGTTTTTTTGTGAATAACAACGGGCTCCAAATCTTCAGTTAGAGATCCTATTCCGACCATTCAACTTCTTTTTGTTGGATGAAATTAAAAAGACTGGAATTCAAAGATTTGTTTTTTGGGAGTTACAATCCCCCGTCTCTCTCGGTTCTCCTCCTATTTTTCCCCCCAAGCCTTCGGGTTTCCCCTCCATATATAGCAACATGCATGAGAGTTTAGTGGTGGAGTAGGTTGCATCAAACCTGGATTTTACGATATTTCTTCTGTTATTTGAATAGGTTTAGTGGATTTGAAAAGTATATTTAGTGGAATTCAGTTTTTCTGGTGATGATTTGTTGATTTTTTCATTAATTTGGTGCTGACTGGAGTATAAGGTCTCGATGGAGCTGCTCACGTGGCCACGAGATGTTGTCGTGGAAGGAGAGCCATCGTTGGGGGCCTCTGCGTGAAAAGTGGGAGACCATATTGTTGCTTGGAAATTGATGTGGCGTGTGCTTCACGTGTGGAGCATGCTGGGGCTATTGGAGGCCTGTAAAAAAATGAAATTGAAATAAATATAAATATATGTGTATGTACTATACCATAATAAAAATAATATGCGTGCTCTGGAGAAAATTAGTGTTCACAATTATAAATAAATATCTAAAATTATCTTTTTATTAAAAAAATAAGTGTCTAAGTATTTAATGTCAAAATAGGTACCTAAACTATTTAAAAGTTTTCATCTAAGTTCTAAAACAATTAACATGTGGCATTAATTTTGGAACTAAGATTAAAAGGTTAGAATAGTTTAAGTACATATAATGATCAAAAAATACTTTAGTATATATTTTGACCAAAATGATAACCTCAGGTACTTGTTTTGATCAAAAATACTTTAGATACTTAAATGGAAAAGATGTTAGATGCTTATTTGTTATATAAGCCTTTATTTATTTATCTTAATTCACAAATCAGATTTAACGTCGTCAGTTAATTCATATACTAAGTTATAACGAGTAGACTGAAAAATATTTTGGAGAAAAGATACACATGCATTGATAATATAAATTTTTCATAAGGATGAATACAAATACAAATAAAATTTTAAAGTTAACATAATCAATAAAATAAATAGTTAATAAAAAATTAAATTTCATAATAGATATGTGTCCACTCTAATATAAGAGTGGAATAGACATTGGTTATAATTATAATAAAAAATAAATAGTAAATTATATTATATTAAGATATAGAAAGAGTAGGGATGTGCATGAGTCGATTCGAGTTTTTAGTTGATCTGATCCAATCCAGAATATAAATCCTTTAATCGAAACTCAAGCCGATCCGAATTTAGGAGTGACTTCATCGACCTAAACCTGAACCGATTTTTTAAGATAAAACTCAAACTCGACCTTAGATAAATATATTTATAAGAAAAATTATTTTTATTCCATAAAAATATAAATTTAACTGAAAAATAATTTATATTTATTATTATAATTATCCTTAAATTCTCAACTCAATCCAAATTCTTATACTTTTAAATTTGATCTTATCTGATCTTATTAAAACCTATGAAGTTCATGTTCCGTGTCTATCCCAAGAAAGAGGGTAGGAGGTGTGAACAGTGAAGTTCGTTGGGGAACAGTTTGAGAGGTGGTACAGAGCCAAGCCGATAACAGCGCGCCAACCCAGGCAACTGCTGCCTTCGCTCCTTTCAGATCGGTTTACATTATCCGTTTCCCGAGACCAATCAACTAACCTACCCCAAATCTTCTTCTAATAACAAAAGTGTAAACTACACATTTTTATTATTTAAGCTATTAGTTTTATTTTGTTTTAGTACCTAAACTTTCATTTGTTTCAAAATAACACTCAACGTTTATTTTATATTTCAAAATAACACTCAACGTTTATTTTATATTTTATTTTTAGTATCTCGCCCTTAAAAACTTAACAAAATTATCTTACTTGCACATTCTTTTATGGGTAAATTACATTATTCATCACTCATATAATACCTTAATTTTATCTGAACATTTTAAATCCATTGGATGAGGTCGGGTGTCAATTTAAAGACATTCACACATGGTCGTCAAATTAATTTGAGTGGCTCGCCTTGGAGAAAAGAATTTTGGGCTTTGAGAAATGTCGAACATTTATTTGGGTTCAATAACCATACGTTTTTATGATTGAATTTTAAAGCCGAAACATGGGATACCCAAGTTAAGTACCAAACTCAAATATCCATTTACAGTCCATTATACAAAATACAACCGAAATTAAATTCTCATTCCATATTTAACCTTTCATACCGATTTTGCATTCAAACCCATTTCCATATATCATTCACACATTTATCAATTACCTAAATCCAAAGCCCATTTACTATGTTACAAGACATGGCCCAATTTAAACCCACATTTTAACATTTGTGGGAAAACCCTAATCTCACCAACCCTCCCGCCGTCGTTCCAACTCACAACCAGCAACTAAGTAATACGTTTTAGAATAGTGGAGAAGCCCCCGGGACGGTCCCAAGAACGTGCTCCTCCACGCCAGCTGTGGCAAATTTCAGAAGCTTCTACTCATGCCTCCAGCTGGCCATGCTTAACCGAAAAAACATTCTCCTCATCCGCTCGAGCCTCGTCATCAACATGCATAAGGAAAAAAACAAATAAGGGATGAGTTGTATTATTGGAGGATTGGTTTTGTAACAGAAAGGGATTCTTTTTGTAACAAAATGAGGTTATAAAAACCCCTGAAATCATTGTAAATGGGTATTCGGTTCCCCATTTATTAACAAGCAATGTAATCAAGGGCTATTCTGATCGGGAAAGAATGAAGCAACCAATGTAAGGGGTTCTTACCCATTTTCGAAAGGAAAAATACCAAGCAATACAAAGCAGTAAAAAAAACCGAAGCAAATAATCTTCATCCATCAGCAACAGAAAAACGAGAGCAAAAAAGAGAAGTCCTACCTTTTATGATCGATCAACCTCGCACCCAGAGAGAAAAGGAAACTGCAAGAAAGAAAGGGCTTACCTTTCTCGTCTGTAAAGGAGTTGCATCGTTGTCCCCGGGTATCCAAACGTCGTTGAGTCGTCGAGGGTAACCCTTCTTGTTCCCTGGTCCCGATCGAGCTTTGTTTAGGGTTATTAGGGGCAATTTTGGTCAGGGTTTAGGTGTTTTTTGAGTGTAAGTTTTTGAAGAGATTGGTTAGATGTCGTTCGGCCCCTCATCGTAGCTTGCATGCTGCAGTGGCTGCTTGTTCTTTTGCTGAGGGTGAAAAAAATGGAAAAGGGGTGAGAGGAGAGAAAATGACATATAGGAGAAAATGGGGCTAGGGTAATTTGTTACCCAAAGTAACATATATATAGCGTTGCCAAAACGACATCATTTATGGGCTAGGGCAACCTGTCTATCAGCGTGTGGGATATTTTCGCAAGGGCTCCTCCTATGTTTGTAATAAATGCATTTTGGTCCCTATTTTGAGATTTTTTTAAGTTTCCGATTTCACCATCAAGCTTTACGCGTGTTATATTTCAGTCCTGGGCCTTAAGTTTTCGTTACTTTATACATTTGACACTCAAGTTTTTACATGTTTCATTTTAGTCCACATCGAATATTTATTTGTATTTCGTATTATTTCTGGCATGTTATTTCAAGATTTTTTTTATTTTAGTCCTATGCACGCTCATGGTTTTATTGCAACTTTAGGGTTTGGAATATTTAACTTTCATATTAAGTGTCTGATCTTTGCTTAACTTGCTAAGTGTTTCCCCCAAACCTGCCTTTTTTATCACTGTTTTTATTCTTAAATATGTCATAGTTAACTTGTAAACGTTATTTTTTTTTCTTTTGCATTGGTAAATATTTCTTTCAATTTAGTTATGCATGTTTGATTAATCGTTGGCACGTTTATGTATACATGTTTGTGTATACATGTGTATGCGAGCAAGTAATTTATGAAACATACGTCATTGATGCATGCTATGTATGATACCCTTACGAGCATTACTTGATTCAATTCAAATAATTTGACTAAGGATAATACCTTTTCATTTTAAAGTCGACGTGAGGTGGTTGTCTTAATTTATAAAAAAATCACTTCCGATGATTTTAAACTGAAAGCGTATCCCGCTAAGTGAAACCTTAAAATTTGATCTCACCTAAAAATTGGGAACGAGAGAACAAGAAATGTTTGTTTATTTAAATTCTTCGAGAAAAAGATCATTAGAACTTATCTAATGTCCGATCTCGACGTCTTTAAATAATCGAATATTCTTCTTTTTTCTAAAAAGATTGATAAGTTTTAATTTAATTTGTTTAATTTCATGTATTTGAATATTGCAATGAAACCATAATATTTCTTTGTTTCAATTGGAGTAGAATCGATTGTCTCAAGGTATGAGAGGTTGTTTCTTCTCGATAGGAAATAATTAAATATTACTTAGTTTCGTTCTAACATTCACGAATATTATTTTAAGGGATTTTAAACTAAATTAAATCCGAACTTGTAAATTTCAAATACAATTAATTAATCGACTAGGTAACGATTTAGGGCGCTGTGGGGGTGCTAATCATTCCCCACGCTTAACCGGCTCCCGAACTTGAATTTTGGTAACGCAAACCTCAAATTTATTGTTTTAATTAAAATTAATATTTTTATTAAAATTGAAAAAATACGTTTTTGGGTGCCCAATCACACCCTAATCAAAGATTGGTGGCAACTCCTCGAATCGTATTTTATTTAATTTAAAGGGAATCCCAAATTTTTCGAAGCAAGAGATTTTTTTAAAATCACATTGCTTTTGATTAAAAATTAATCAAAAGATAATAAAAAAAAAGTTTTTTTTTTTAAATTCCGAAAAAAATCGTTTCGACAACTCAACTATCTTATCTCTCTTATTTTGATCATTAAAGTTTAACTTTTTAATTTAATTACTTGAATTTAAAATTACTTCTAATTTAATCACTCTAACTTTCAAATTTATTTTTTATTTTAATTATATATTATGAAAATAATTATAAAAATTTCTATCTCACAAAAATTATTAATAAAATATATTAGAGTGATT